GCCACGTCACCCCCTTCCCCTCCTCCTGCCCTCCTCCAGCGTTGTCCCACCATGCCAGGGGCTTCTGGTTTTCGCCATGCATACCTGGTGGTCCCAGACTTCCTCCTCCTTTGCCCCCATACAGAGGCTTCTCCAAAATGCGTGGCAAAACCTGGAACATACTGCAAGTAACGTAGCTCTAGCCCCAAAACCGTAGGAGACAACCCCTGCAGAGCCAAGAGAAAGCAAGAGCTTCTGCCTGGAGGTGAAGGAAGAGAGAGGAGCCCCGTGACAATAAGGGACGATGCTGGTTCTTGTACAAACTGGGAGGTGTGTGAAGGGTGTATTGTCCCAGACCAGGAAGATTTGGGGACAGTTTTGTGGAGTAACACGCTCTCCTGTTCCTTCCTAGCAGCAAGACTTGACTGCACGGGGAAAGCTCTGTCTGTCAACGCAGGAGGGCACATAAATCATTCCTAGGGACAGAGGGTGGCAGAAAAGTGACAGTGAGAGAGATGAGCCAGGGACCCTCAACAGTGGGAAATCACTGATGTGCAGACAAACAACAGCACGAGGTCTTTGCTCAGTGCCTCCAATGACATCTAAACTGGCGCTCGAAGACTTCTCCCAACTTTCTTCTGGGAGACGTTGCCGTCAGATAGAGGCTTTGCTTTAATGTGTCGAAGCATGGAACACGCTGTGTGGTGTGGTCGACACTGGAGGGAAGGGATGTCATCTGGAGGGACCTGGACAGGCTGGAGAGGTGGGCTTGTGCAAACCTCATGAAGTTCAACAAGGCCAAGTGCAAGGTCCTGCACATGGGTCGGGGCAATCCCAAGCACAAACACAGGCTGGGCGGAGAATGGATTGAGAGCAGCCCTGAGGAGAAGGACTTGGGGGTGTTGGTTCACAAGAAGCTCAACAAGACCCAGCAATGTGCGCTTGCTGCAGGTAAGGCTTGCTGAAGGCCATGTTCTGAAGGCAACAGCCCACTTAATGTGCCCTGACCCCACTTGTTCATCCCCTGCCCATAGGACCAGGGGCTCCAGTTAGGGTCAGGCTTGAGCATCCAGGCTTTGCCTGACCTATGCAGGAGTTGCACCTGTCTGAAGACCTGTCTCCATCCCCCTTTCATCGATGGACCTTGAGCCTATGCTCTAGCCTGAGTCTATCTCTGGTCCCAACTCCTGCAGCTCCAGGCTGGACCATCTGGAGAGACTGGACCTTGTTCACTACCGTGCTTTCACCACATGAAATCAAAGGACATTCTTGGAGGACATCAGCCTTGGGAACATCAAGCAGAGGCAATAACTCCCAAGAAGAGGTATCCAGAAGATGGAAAACACATGAAAGAGGGAGAGAAAATAAAAAGGAAAATGCCAGTCCCTGTGATGCTGAAGGATGAGATTGTGTGACAGCAACCACTTGTAGATAAAAGCGCATCTGCAGTACTATGTACCCCACAAAATGTAATCTCAGAGGAGACACACGCACGTCAGGGATGTGATTAGAGGCAGCGGGCAAAGCTCTCGTGCTGTTCTGTATCTGAATACTGGTGATTTCTCACGGCAAGTTGAGACAAGGCCAGTGCTCTGCTTCATTGGCTGCTGTTGAGGGGACTCTGTGGGCGTCCCGAGTGCAGGGGGTGGGTGTATGGTGAGGTCTGGGGGGCAGAGGAAGGGATGGGCACAGCCAGGAGTGGTTCTGCACCGGAGGAATGGTGGGAAGAAGGAGTGTTAAGGCCATGGGACTGTCAGGGACTTCCCAGAGGTTTCTGCTGGTTCATCCCCATTGTTGACGGTCCCTGGCTCATCTCACTCATTTTCATCTTTCCGCCTTCCTCTTGCCCTGCCATATCCCTTACCCGCCATCCCCTTGGTGATGCAGGCTGTAAGGGTAGCGAAGGAACAGAAGACAACCAGGAGAAGCCTTCCACCACCAGCTTCGCACAGCAAACCCAGGAGACCCCGGCATGGCGAGGCGAAGCTGGAGGACAGGCGTGTGGAGATCCTGACCAGAAGACCATTATACATTGGGGAGTCAACGATCCACAACACACTCGAGCAGTCCCAGGCCCTGTGCCGTGCCGAGCTGTGCATCTCCCTTGGCCATGGGATAAACCTGGTCGGTTGATGGCAAGGGAGGAGCCCGAGGAGCACAACTGGGTGCTGGTGATTACAACACCCGCATGTCCTTGCCTTTATCTAAGACTGCAACGGTTCTCATGTGAACATCTTTTTGTTTGACAGTAGAATGAGTTGCTTTGTTCTTTAAGAAAAACCTGTAATAACTCAAATGACCATAACGGGATAACCTTTCCGCGGAGAGGATCTGCCCTGGTCAGAGGTCTGTTTGATGCTGCAGGACCTGGGGTTCCCAGCACCTGAAGGGACATAAGGTTATTTGTGCTATCCTCTCCTTCTTCACAGTTTCAGACCTAGCAAATGGCATTTAAAATGATACTTTATGGAGTCTGAGTGCCTTTCTTAAGAGGATCATAACAGCTCAGCACCTCCTAGTGAAAATCTAGCAGGAGGAGGGGAAGGGGGTGACGTGGCCAAGTCCTCCTGACAAGATCGCCGTCCGTGGGACACGTGAGGGGAAGCTGTCACCGATGTGATGAGATTGTGAGGGGAGTCTCCTGACCACGGGATGTGATCTCTGGGCAAAGGTCTGCTCCTCAGGCACGCGGGAGGAGGCTGAAGCAGACTGGGTGGCCCCGGCAGCCATCATCATCCTCATTGTCCTGGCAAGCCTGACCTTGCGGAGT